GGTCTTTCTCACAAATACACTTCCACAAATATTTCTGCAATAGAATATTGCTTAAACGCTTATGGTTTAATACAATTGGGACGAATTTTAGCACAAAATCATCATTTTTTAATTATCACCTATGGAAATGTAAAATTATTTTTATTTCCAACACAAAAAAGTAAACAAATGCCGATTTCAAAACGACAAGCGCCTTACAATGTTGGACGCTTCGATTCATGAAGCTTTTACGATTAGACGAAAACATGATTATGAATCATAATATTCAGAGCTTTATTTAAAGACATGTGTTCGGCATGAAGGCTTCATTACACTACTATGACTAGGCGCTTAATATGCGGAGTGCCTTACGGCTTTCTTTTTATTTCAACGACGATGTGAGTTACGCCCTTTTCTACTAACGATATGATATACCAAGCGCTCGAATATATAATATATATACATATATATAGTATAATACTTTTTTCGGATTCCAAAAATTGATACTGTTTTTTTTTTCATTCACATGTTGCATGTTACAGTGCTGGGTAGAACTAATTCTATCACTTAACCTTTTACTAGTGGTTCACTTTATGTCCGCTAATGGTCCATTTTGGAAGAAAAGATTGATTATGTGGCTTTTCTTCGCAGTAATAAAAGTATTTCCCTAAAAAAAAAATGCTATTAAAATTAAGTAAAATACATGCACCACTCATCTTCGACATGCTACAAAAGAAAACGGGTTTAAATACATAAATGCAATTATTTTAAAATGGGAAAAAAATTCAAAACTCACATTTCTGCTGCTTTCAAACCGACGCGTACTTTTGTAAATTCGAACTGTCAACCAATAAAAGGGAAACGATAAACCACTAGAGAAAGCAAGAATTTCTAACAAATCGGTTGTTCAACACCGATGATGCCGTCTTGAGACTTACATACATATATGTATGCACATATCGAGGGCTTATATTCAAAAACTTCTATCTGGACTTTTCCCAAAAATGAGATTCTGATATAAAAATCCAACAAAGACTTAACTGTCATCGGTGATATTAATGCTGACCTTGTATAAAGCTTGACAGAAGAATTTACTTACAAATTGCAAAGTCAGAATTAACATTAGTGATGACAGCTAAGTCCCAGATGGGTTCTAACATCACAAAGTGGTTTTTGTGAAAATTGCAGATAGAGGGTATTGAATATAAGCCCTCGATATGTATCTACTAAAGTTACGTAAAAACAAGATCAGAAAATTTGTTGGTGAATTCTGGTCGCTTAAAATCGAAGTGATTTTGTCAAAGAGGCCATAAAAGTGAAGTGAAAAACTTCAATCGTGGTGGCAGCGGCAACACCGATAGCAAACATCGGAGTATTTCTGCCTTGAAAAAGCTATTCATAAAACCACGTAAAGGCGACGTAAAGTTATGTTATAACTTCAGGACACACACAATAAATTGGCCAAACTCTTAGCAGAAGTGTTAACCCCAATTTATTATTACTAGTGTTCGCCCAGCGGTTGAAACTCAACCGATAAAATTAAGAATAGTTTATGTAAGTTGAATGAGCTAAAATAACATTAGTTGGAATGG